TCATTTGACCATACCAAGCTCAATTGGTTTGGATTTGGCCATAAGTCCAAGAAGGTGCATATGACCAAATCTTGTGTTTGGATTAGGTTAGGCATGTCAATTGGCCCAATTAACTATGGTATTTGGTGTAGGAGACCATGAGGAACAACTTTCATGAAGGGTGAAAGTCATTTTGAGGTCAATTGGTTAACCAATTTGGTGGATTTTTGATTTTTGACCCATTTTAAGCATGTTGGGCTAAGTTTGGGTCAAACTTGGGCTAGCCATGGGCTAAGTCCAAATTGATAGTTGTGTTTGGTGTAAAACATCATGATGAACAACTTTCATGAAGGATGAAAATTGTTTTGAAGTTGATTTGATAGTCAATTTGGATAGATTTGGATGGGTTTTGTTTTTAGACTTAAATTAAGCCTTTAAGGGCCAAATTGATGGTTTTGGTCAAAGATGGTCAAATTGACCAAATTGGACCATGGTGTAGTTGGACAAAATGAAATTGGGAATATTTTGGATTTATTGGGAATTTTTGGAATTTTTTGATTTTTGGGTCATGGAGGGGCATTTTGGTAATTTGGCCATTTTTAGAAATTTTTGTCAGTTTTGGAAAATTTGAATGTATTCAAAGTGTTTGGAATGAGTTTTGATTAGTTTTGGGTATTTTGGCAAAATTTGAGAATTTTTGCCAAATTTGGGTCCAAAGGGCAGTAGGTAATTTGGAGGTGCCTAGGGGCAAAAGACCAAGTTAGACATTTCAAATAGGATTGGATAAATATCCATTCTAAATGAACCATGGATCAATGAAATCTCCATTTTGGGTCCCCATGTATTGGTCTTAGCCAGAGTATGGTGAGGGTATGGTGTACCTTAGCTCCAAATCAACACCCAGGGTCAATCTTAAGGTCAAGTAGCCCTATAGGAACTCTCCTTGAGTTCCCTCATAATGATCTTACCTACTAAGTGCTAGAGGTTATGACCAATATGTGAAACTTCAAATTGAGTAAAGAAAAGAGTTTTTGAGTTTCTAATGGTAAGAGTACATTTTCTAGTTTTCTCAGACTAGTCAGTAGGAAAGTCCTATGGCTAGACCTAGGCTACTAAAGAAATTTCTAGACCTCAACCAAAAGTGAGGTCAACATATACATGCTAACCAAATAATATATGAATCTGAGTCCATTTATAGATCCAACAATGAATGAGTAAACTCCCAAAGTCTAAAAAAGTTGTTATATATTGGTTTTGAGTTTAGCCCGAAGTTTCAAAACTTGGTGTTTTTAAAATTTCTAATCCTAATTTTTTGTAAAAAAATAAAACCTGTATCTAGTTTTGAAATTTAATAAGTGATATAAAACCTCCCTTAAATTGGTCGTATGTAAATTAGATAGAATGAAGTTGATAATTAAAAAGAATAATTTTCCTTAGTCCCTCTTGAAGCTAGTAAGAAAATTAAGATTTCATATTACAGTTAGTCCATAATCATGTAAAAATCTCAGTGTTTGAAAATTTCTCTACATGAGTATACTATTATAACATCATTAATTTTATTCTCTTAGAGTAGTGTAGGTTAACCAATTGGTTATACTAGTCTGCTCCCATAGTATTAGATCACAATCCATTTTAACATAAGAAGTAAATTATGTGCGAAAGGTTAATTATCAATTTATGATCAAATTACACATAATTACATAATAAATGCGATACTAATTTGCATAGAATTAAATTCAAGGGAGAAAGAAATTTAAGTTTTACTCATTACAGATGAACACGACAAAGATTTCATTATAAATTCAGTATTAAAAAAGTTAAAACAACCGCATTGATGTTCTTCACTGATGTTACAAGAATTGACAAGAAGATTTCTGAGTTTCCACCCACTTTGAGTATAAATAATTACAAGCACACACACTTGTTCTCACTCATGAGAACTCTCTCACACACTCACACTCTTCTAGGATCTATCCGACGAAGGTGTTGAATGCGGCGAATATTCTCCTCAAACTCCTATCTCTAATCTCTATCATCAAGTTTTATAACACTCTATAATGACCAAATCTCACCAAATGTTTCAGCTGATGCATATTTATCATTCCCTTCACAAAACATCATAATTTGAGTTGTCAAACCGTAATCCCGCATCTCCGGCTGCTCAGGCGCCCGAAACTAGCACCTAGGGGTGTAAACCAGCCAAACACGAGCGAGCCCAGGAATAGCTCGTGTTCTGCTCGTTTATATTTCAAGCTCAAAAAGTGTGTTCATATTTGACTCGTTTGCTTAGCAATCCGAACACAAGCCGTTCACGAACAAAGAATCGTTTTGACAACTCTAATCATTAGCCATAAGATGTTAAGCATTGGGTCAAGATTTAAAACATCATTTTAATTTAATTTAATAATTTTTATTATATTTTATCAATTAATACTTTTAATGAGCCGTTCACAAACAAAGTGTCGTTTTGACAACTCTAATCAGTAGCCATAAGATGTTAAGCATTGGGGCAAGATTTAAAACATCATTTGAATCTAATTTAGTAATTTTTATTCTATTTTCTTAATTAATAATTTTAATTGATTATAAATCTTTGTAGCCTTGTAGTCAATTAATTTTGTTAAAAATACTACTCATCAAATATATATATATATATATATATAATTGATTAGTAGTATTTCGAGTCACAACGAGCCGAACACGAACAAATAAATATTTGTTCATGCTGTTCGTGTTCGACTCGTTAACTTAGCGAACGAGCCAAACACGAGCTTCTTAATGAGCCGAACACGAGCTGTTCTCGAACAACGAGCCAACGAGCCAGAACAACGAGCCATTTTGACAGCCCTACTAGTCTTTGAGCACCTAAGCCCCCAGTACTTTCTTAGGCACTCAGGACTGACTCCTAGGCATCCAAGGTAGGTGCCTAGGCACCTATTTTGCTCAGTTCAACTTGGTTCATTTCATTTTGAGTTTGTTTTATCTCCTCTGCTTCTTAGGTTGCTTGATCACCAATACATTGCATATATAAATGTAAATACCATGAAAAGCATAAAAGTACATAAATAAAAATAACATATAAACAACACGCATATTGATACACTAGTAATCCACTAATAATTTTAGTTGCATTGTGGCATATTTCTCTCTTAGCAGAGAATGTAGAATTATAAAGTAAAGATCAAGCAATGATAAGAGTTAAATATGATGTAATAATAGTCTTTTTTTCATATATTATGCCATTTTATGCATTTTTATGATATATTTTATCTATATATGCAATATACATGTAAAACATATTATTTGGAGGACAATTGCAACTTTTGATTTGGCGCCCCAACCCCCATACATAGCGCCTTGGCACTAGCAAGATAGCACCACTACACTATAGAAGCAACACTTTGACGCCTAAAGGGGATTGTTGGAGTCAAAATTCTGAGAGCAAGATGATTCATTGCCTAAACCAAGCACCTAATGCTGCATCCAACAAAGCCCTAGCCCCCATAAAAGCAACATCACAATGCTCGAACCCTATATTCAGATCCGAGAGACGCGAAAGGTGACGCTAGAGAGCAACGCTCCAACACCTCAATTAAGCATCACAGCGCTACCTAGCAACTCCTCAACACTCGTTATCAACATACCTCGTTTTGGCAGTTCAACAATTGATTGGCCATAAATTATATAAAATAAATACTTAGGAGAATGGGGGGAAGCTTTTGACACTAGTATGTTCTCATTTATTAGCCTAAGTTTTGATTTCTTTATGGTAAGAGTGAATGTGAATGATAAGTAAAGGAGAAGATCAAGTTGGGCCAAGCAAATACTTAGTAGCAATTATTTATTTCCAATTTCTTTTTCAAATCTTATTTTCTTTATAAAACTTGGTTAGATTTTCAATGATCGCATGCTCGTGTTTCCACTCATGCATACTACTTAAATCCTTACTTCTTTGTTTGGTTTTAAAAGTATACGTGAATCCATATTAGATTCTTGTTCATGCGAACGAATTTGTTGATATTTTAATCTTTAATTCATAGTTCACACTTTGGCTTTTTGATTTGTCAAAACATTCTAAAATCTAGGACTATCAGAAAAAGACTAGAAACACATCTTAGCTAAATCATATGCTTTTAGTGGAATATGAATATTACCTTTCATTTCTAGTATTTATGGGGAATGAAGATTTTTAGAGTTTTTATAGAATTAAGAAAACTTAATGATAATATGAAATTTCAATGCTTGCTAATCTTAGAAGATAATAAGAGGTATTAGTCCCCTATTGCCAGTTACAATAGGAGAATCTCGTGAAGGAACTTATCACTGATCAAACCAATTCAGAGAAGAATTGAAAACATTAAAAAATCAATTAACTCATCTTAAATTTTTTCTTAAAATTAAAATTTTTAGATGCATTCTAAAACAAAAATCTAGCTTTCGAATTACACTTATTGTTTGTATTACTAGTGTTTAAACTAATTTGAAATGACTAAACTTTCATGTTTACATTATACAATTACAAAATAAATATGATTTTTATTAATTTTTAAAAATAAAATACATAAAAGTGGTAAAAATATAAATATCAAGCTTTAGGTGATAGATATGTAAATACATAAAATTGTTTTGGTATTTATATAAATTCCCACCCCAAATTTAGCAAACTCGGTTACATAAACGCACGTGTCACCCCACGGCCAAATGAGCCCCATCTTCCCTCGTCAATCCGCCGTTAAATCTAACGGTTCACGTTCAGCCCACAACCACCAAGCCGGCTACCCAAGGCCGACGGTTCATTTTGATCCCGCAAGCCGACAGCCACGAACGCTCCAGCCCGAGCGGTCCGGTCCGTATGAACCGGCTTAATGGATTTTAACACGGACCGGAATATGGGAGCACTTCCCTTCAACGCCGTTTAGTGGGATACGGCGAAAAAATCTATTAGAATTAATTTATAATTTAGAAAAGTCTTAATTAATTATATATTTCCAAATTTATTCCTCATCCGTTCGCACCAAATTCATTCCCATCCGAGAGCGGGAACTGAGGGCAGTGAAGTTCTTGAGGGCAGAGGAAGTGGAGAGAGAGAGAGAGGCGATGGCGAGCGCGGAGAAGGGCGACTCAGAGGTGGTTTCTGTGGAGCTTCCTGCGCCGGAGGGGTGGCGTAAGAAGGTTCGATTTCTTGTTCCTGCTTTGATTGAATCTTGTTTTCATGATTCTTGGTGGAATATTGTGTTTCCTTGCTTCATTTTATCTGTATTTTTTGGCGCTGTGGTTAGGGTTTTGGCAAGCCTTGTGTGTGGGTGTCGGTTGCTGTGCTAGGGTTTCTTGGATTTGCTTGGGGCCTTGTTTGTGGTCGTGGATGGAGTAGTTGAGATGAGGGAGGGGGAGAGTGGTTTAGGGGCTGTAATTTGAAGAAGGTCGGAGGAAATTTTATTATGGGTGTTTGTTTTGCGCTTAATTTTTGGCGATTTGATGTAATTTTTGTAGTGTGGGTTTTGATGATAACTGTTCTTGTTTGTTGTTTTTTCAACGCTAGGTTTTGCTATCGTTTTACTGGAAGTTGAGATGGACGTAGGAAAAAGGTTAAATAAGATTATCTTATTGGTCTTCTTGCCATGGAGACAACTTTTTGACTGATTGATTATTTGGAGGCATGGTTTCATTTGCTTTATTTCAAATCTTATTGAGAAATCTTATATAATAAATGGATGCCGACCGATAATTGGTCTTAAAACCACCTTGAAGCCTGTTATTTAGAATATAATGTATGTTTGGATTTTGATGATTATTATTAAGTAGAATTCATAATTTATGAATCTGATATCAGAGCCCGCCTTACCAGCTTTGAAAATTTTAGTGCTTTTAGGATTGGACTAGGTGATTGGTTCAAATTTCAACAATTACTATAACTTGTTCAACAGTAATATATACAAAGGTATCTACCAAAACACTCTGTCCATCAAGTTGAAAATCTTATAGAACTAACTATAACAACCATAAAACTAAAAAGTTAACGGTCATTATGTAACTTGGTTGTTTAAAACAACAGTCTCTCCCACTTGCTAATAATAGCTACCATAGACTCGATCCTTAAAGTGATCACAACTTGATTACTCGGTTAAATCTAAAAATGAAATTATGGAATGATTTTTCAACTCAATAGGGTGAATAACCATAATGCAATAGTTAGAAACTAAATATTTGGCATTTGGATAACCCTATATTTAAGGAAAACATATGCATAACCATACCGATGTCATTGAAGTAATTACATGCATCCAATAATCTGAGTGAAGGTTCACCATAATAATAATAAAAAAACACATATTTTGGCTCAATCTCAAATGTTTTTTGGTATTCACGTGGTAACTTAAATTTTCTATTAACATGCAGTGAAAAAATTTGCGACTTATATCATAAATATATATACATCATATTAGTTAGTTTAGTTTATAATATTTATTATCAACTACACGTAATTTCAGAGCTACTAATCTTGTGCCACAATTAAACAGATTATTCACAATACATAAAATAATCTAAACAATCTATTTTGTTGTCCTAATTACATTTTGTTTTAGAATCTATTAAGTTTACATTATGATGACCAATGTTTAACTTATAGTCTTATACATAGTTACCATCCACATATAAACTTATAGATCTTCTTACTAGCCAAACTATCAATATTGTTTAGCATGTCATAATTTAATAGAAATTGTAACTTCATAGATTGACATATTAGAATGAAACAAAAGTAATGATATGTGATGCATATACTTGGTCTGTTATTAGTAGATTTGAGAAGTGGATTCCCTTCCCTCTTTAACGTGACCCATCGATCCTCACATCATAAAGTAGAAAAGGATCTATAAATTCCATTTTAGCTAAAGTAATTTTAAGCTATGGAAAACATTCTGTTTGAGTATCGTTCATAGGAGTGAGATGAAGGTATTTTGAGCACATTCTTTGAATAGTAGTCTTATCAATGTGTAGATCATTAAACATAAGCAACAAATAATAGTTTACCATCTCCCACATAACATCAAAGAATTTGATGGGAAAGTCTTCATGAGCTAGAGATCTGTTAAACCCTAGAGTGAAAATTGCCACCTTAATTTCTTTAATGCTGAGTTGGGAATTTAAATCTTTCAACAACAAAGCATCATTGCGAGGATAAAATTTATTAAAGTCTTTTGAGAACATAGAGCAAATACTTTTGTGGAATAGATTTGTGAAATCTATAAAAGCTGTAAAAATGTCATTCTAGTGATGTATAAGCTTCACAAACTTGGCTTGATGAATAAAATTGAACTTTCTTCTTCCATTAACCATCCTATGAAAATATAATGTGTTAATATATTTTTCTAAATTCCAATTGACTTGAAACTTTTGGTGGCAATGGATTTTAATGAGATTCATATTAGTAAGAATGTTATTGTTCAGAACATCAATGTTCTCCTTATCAGAAACATTTGAAGTCTCTTTACTTCATATCACAACCATTTGCCTAAAAGACTTAGCTTTGTGACGATTCTTTTGACCTTTCACAAAAACCAAGTCCACAAATTGGTTATTGACTTTTGAAGGTCCTCTATATTCACCAATAATTTTCAAACTGAAAATTTGCAGTTGAGTTTGGCTATTATAGAATTAGCAACTCTTTCAAAGCAATGATCAGACATGACTTTACCACGATTTTGGGGATGATAATTTGGAAAATAGGCTTCCCTAAAATAAATGAATAGTTTTTTCTTCACTCATGAATGAGGAGATGGTTTTGGTGATGCATCTTTAAAGCCAACCATAATTTTGGTTTCACCAAGATTTAATTAACTTACATAATTTCTTCACTCACAAATGGATTTTTGTTGCACTTAATGTCTTTATAATTATCTCCTTATTTTTTTCATCAGGCCCTTTCAAATTAATTTTTTTTGCTAGTTAAAAATACTAAGGGCTTACGCTTGACTTAGAGGATCAATAATACTATCATTCTTATTTCCATTCTTGTTTGGCTTATAATTTTACCTTTTTTTTGTATTTTTAATGAAGTAAATTGTCGTATGAATTTAAATTTGAATTGTGTAAATTAAATCTCCTTTATTGTTGGAGCTATAGGCGAGCTGATGCATTTTATAAACAACTCGATGCTCATTTATAATTTTTGCTTAAAATCCATTTATTTAAGTAATTACATAGGTTGTAATACAATTTAAAAGGTCATCATACCAATTGAAAAACTCGAACATTGATCTACTTGTTCATTAATATTTGTGAACAAGCCCATGCTGTTTAACAAATAGTTTGCTTAGGATTGAATAAAATACTTATTCAATGATGCTTATTATTACTTATTTGATGATTTATTTTTTTGTTAAATTATTATTTTTTAAATATTCTATGCACTTAAAAAATTATTTATTTTATTAGAATTATGAATTAGATGAAAAGATCAAACCAATGGCTAGATATATAGATTAACACTTTTTCTTACTGTTATTTGAAGGTTGCCAAACAAGTTAAATATAGCTGGTTAATTATGATAATTTTGATTAAAATTTATAATTTTAATTATTCATAGTTTTAATACTAAGTGTTTAAATCATTAACATCAAACATATATTTATTTGGGCTCAATTAATGATTGATTATGGCTCATGCTTGATAATAAAACTTGTAAATAATCTTGACTAATATTATAAAACTTGGATCATGTTATTGCTCGGCTTGAAGGTGTTTAGGAAGCAAGTGATCAAGGTTGATTAAGGTAGCGCTTGGCTTGTTTCAGTTCATTCATCGCTTTATTTATTTCCATACAAATTTCCATTAACGACGGCTTCCTTTTTATGATTGACACCTGCAGTAGGTGATGTAAACATATAATTAATTACTTTAAGATCTGTGTTCATAGGCATCATGATTTTTTCCTACATTTAGCATATTTTTCTTTTTATCCTACTTTCTTTTTTCTTACGTTTAGCATAAACTCTTTAAAATATATTAAAGAGTTTAGTAAGCCCATATCTTTTGCTTTAGTTATGGATGGTCTTAATGGGACATCTACAGGAGGATGTACCTTGGTGTGTGCTTTTTGCTGATGATATCCTTCTTGTGGATAAAACGGGAGAAGAAGCCCAGGAAAAACTTGAATTATGGAGGTCTACATTGGAGTCTAAAGGCCCTTCATTTAAGTAGAACTAAAAAACTGAATACATGGAATGTAATTTTAGTAGTAATAGCTCTAGTGACAGAAGTGTGACTTTGGGTGATCAAATTATTAAAAGGTGTGAACGATTTAGATATCTTGGGTCCGTTGTTCAAAGCGATGGTGTATAGATAGGGATGTTAATAGTGGAATTCAAGTTGATTGGTTGAAGTGGAGGAATGCTTCGGGCCTTTTGTGTGATAGAAAAGTACCGCTAAGACTGAAAGGAAAATTTTATAAGATGGTGGTGAGACCTGCAATGCTCTATGACTCTGAATGTTGGCCTTTAACTGTGGCGGACAAAATTAGAGAAAGTCGTCTTAGATGGTTTGGTCACATTAAACATCGACCATCTGATGATCCGATTAGGAGAGTAGATGTTTTAGATTCGACTTATGTTATGAAAGGCAGAGGTAGACCTAGAAAGACTTGGGCTTATTGTATTAAAAATAATCTTAATTTACTAGAACTAAATAAAAATATGACACTAAATAGGACACAATAGAGAAAAAAGATTCATGTAGCCGACCCCACATAGTGGGATTAAGGTTTTGTTGTTGTCTTTCTTCCATCTGAATGTTACTTGTTTTTCATTTTATTATAACTCTGAATTTGTAGTCGAAGTCATTATAATCTAACTTCCGAAGTTTAGTAATGCTATTAAGGACTGGACATTGTATTAGAAATTTAGAATTGTTGCCTCCAAAAAATGTCTTCATGAATGGGTTATGTTTATCCATGCTAACGAGTTTGCTAAACTTTGAAGTAATGACCTCTTGGAACAAGCCAAACATTAACACCTCTTTTACTTGGGGAGTAGATCTAATTTTTTCATCCTTTTATGGACTGTCGATGCAACTTCCTGAACTTTCCTACATTTGCTTCTGACCAAAGGATCATGAATTTAAGAAGATTTGAATTTCATAAAAACAACTCTTGCTTTATAACGTGACATTGGGGA